AAATATGAAATTTATTGTCAAATTGGTTTCCATACCACACCCAGAGCTCATCCCATTCTTCGGTGTTTTCTTTCACGCTGGGGGCCTACGTTTTTGCCTCTTCCTGGGCCAGAGCTTGGGCCATGCGAGGCCACAGGCTCCCACCAGGGGGCGTGCGGGGCTCAGCCTAGGGAGCCTGGCGTCGCATTCCTGCCACCCGCTTGGGGGACAGGGCCTGCCTGCTGTCGGCCTGGCCAAGACCCCCGGGCGGGGCCACGTCTTCCCTTCCAGGTTCTAAACGGATAGAGGGACGGTGGGGCACGAAACTGGCTGCTTACCGAGTGGTCTTCAGCCAGCGCCCAGCCTGCTCCCTCTCCGCCTTGAGCTCAGCGGGCTTTTTATCACGAGGGTTGGGAGGGCACCTCCCGCTTTCAGCAGTGAGGGCGGCTCCGGGGGAGTCAGGAGACCAGGCTTCCAGTGGGCCCTCAAGTCAGCCCTTCTGCTTTTCCTTCCCTGCAAAGTGCCAAGGACGGGCTGCCTGTGGACACCACGCAGGGATGCTGTGCATCGCCAGCATTGGATATTCAGCAGGGCCAAGTGACCTGCATGAGCTTGTTGGGTCCTTTCAACAGCGCTTGGAGCCCCAGATCTGAAGCAGGGGAGGGAGACTGCACGATGGGTGGGCCGGGGACCAGGTCGCCTAGCCCGGGGGTGCAGGGGCAGGACCCGTTCCCGGCTCTGACCGCCCGCAGGGGCTCCTCCACTGTGCGATGCCTTTGTGGTGTCCGAAGCCGTCCGCCTTCCAGAGTCACACTCCTGAAAAAAGCTCGGGGGATCTAAGCCCATGTTGAGAATCCCTGGGCCTCAAAGTTTTAGGGCCTTCCCCCACCCCCCATCTCCTGAACTCTGGCTCTGCCTTGCAGATGTCCAGGACTAGGGACACAGGACACCAGGGAGGGCTAGAAGACAACTTGGCTTTGTAGGAAGAGGCCAAAAATCTCACTCTGGCAGCACAATCTGGTCCCTGGCTTGGCCTTGGTCCCAGAGTCGCGGCAGGGAGGCGGCACCATTTTCTGAGGAAGGGCTTGATGGAGAGATGCTTCAGCTGGTCATCCAGGGCACGGGTGCCCCTGCTGCTCCTGGCCCTGCCTTCCCTGCAGGCCCTCCACACCTTAGATCTCGCAGAGGCTCACCACGCCTCTCCCCGCCCTGCATCTGCCGGGTGAAATCACCAGGCACCTTCCCCGCCCACCCACCGCAGTGGGCCTCCCCTGGCCGCAGAGCCAGCTGCCCAAGGACACACCCTGAGTGTCAAATTTAGAGCCTCAAAGCGATTCCTGGCTTCAGTGAGCAGGGCCCTTGGCTGAGTTAGCTGGGGCCAGGCCACTCGAAACGTCCGCTCGGCCGTCACGTTAGTCCCGTTCTGTACTCCCAGATCCTAGAGGCACGTCAACCTCAGAGCTAGACTTGTTCCTGTTTACTCACGGTGAGCTTTCCTCCGGGGCCTCAGTCTCCCAGACTCCGCTCGAGGAGGGTGTGCTTGAGCCGGGTCGCACACTCACACTCCCCCCCCCCCCCCCCCCGGGGGCGTCTCCGAGGCCGAGAGCGTTCCTACTCGACGGTCCAACCGAACAGGTAGATCTTTTTTGGAGTGCACCACCCAAGCCCGCCACCACTTGGAAAACGAGGTTTCTAAAAAGATTTTTATACTTCAATGCAGCTCCTTTGGTGGGGGGGGAGGGGGGGGCTGGGTGGGTTTTAAGCAGGCCATGGTTGTGTTGAGGCCGTGCACGGTGGCCAAGCTAGAGAGTCAAGAGCTTTTATCGCGAAAGGTGCCGGTCGCCCTGGAGGGACTGGGGGCGGGCTGCCCCAAGACGGGCACTTTGGCTTGCGGGCTATTTTGAGCTGAAGGCCATCAGACTCTGAGGGCTCCAGAGAAGCTTTTGCCCCGCCCTCTACTACATGGAAGAATCTAAATTGGAGGTCTTTCCAGAATAAGTGTTCTTGCCAGAGATAAATGTTATCTGAGCGACCCGTCTGTACGGTGGGGCAAACACCGATTCCCAAACATCTGCTCTTTTTATTGCCCGGCGAAGTGCAGTGCGTTCCTTCCCTTGAAGTCCCAGAGCCCTACCCCTTCTCCTGAGTTCAGAATGACACAGAGACCTCATGTGGTCCACGTTTGGGATTTCCATGTCTGCGTGGATGCCCCGTACGGATGCCGATTACGTTTGGTTTTCTCCCGTTGATCGGGCTCATGTCAATTTGGTTCCGAGTCCAGCTCGAAGGACCTCTGAAGAGACAGGAATTCTTGCTCCCCGACAGCCCTCCCAAAGAAGGCTCTCCGGTCCCTTTTGAGGAACCCCTCCCCCCCTGCCAAGTGTAGGAAGGTGACTGCGTGCCCCTGGTTCTGGATCCCCAGCGTGTTTGGGGGCAGATCAGAGAGCTGGGCTTGGCCACTGGGCTCTCACAGGACTCTGGGCCCTGGGCAGGGGAGGACGGGAGGCCTGGGTGGAAGGTGTTGGCAGGGCGCTGACTAGATTCTTCTGGAAGGCCAGTACCCCTGGCTCCCCTGATTCTGTGGGCGCCCCTCCCCCATATCCTTCTAGTAACTTCCTGTCGCCTTTTCAGAGTTGGCGTCTGCAGCTTGGACCGTAAAGAGCTTTTGCACCCAGTGAATACAGTGACAGATGGTGTGGAGGAAGGCCCCAGACCCAAGATGCCTTCTTAGGGGACCGGTGCCCCAGGGCTTAGCGGGGCCCCGCGCGGCCTCTGCCTTTACTGAATCTTCAAGTTCCCAGTGAGATGCCCCCACTCTCGCTCATCCTTCCTTTTGCTAAGGAAACCCAGGCACTCACTGCAGGGTAATGCGTGCACGTGTGCGTGTGCAAGCATGATCTCTCTCTCTCAAATAAATACACGTAAAAAAAGAAGTTAGGGCGTCTGGGTGGCTCAGTTGGTTAAGCGTCTGACTTCAGCTCAGTTTGTGACCTAGCAGTTTGTGGGTTCAAGCCCCACGTCAGGCTCTGTGCTGACAGCTCAGAGCCTGGAGCCTGCTTTGGATTCTGTGTCTCCCTCTCTCTCTCTCTCTCTCTCTCTCTCTCTCTGCCCCTCCCTGGCTCATGCTCTCTCTCTCTCTCTCTCAAAAATAAACATTAAAAAATAAATACATAAAAGATTAAAACAAAAAAAAGTTAACTGTGATTGGGTGAAACCACTACAGCTTTGAACTTCAAACTGCTGTTGGAAATAAAACCCCAAATCGGCTAGGGATTTCCTAGGTGTCCCCTTTGTGCCAGGCAATGAGGTGGCACTTTGGGCTTGGCAGCCAGCGGCCCCAGAGATCTAGTGTTCTCTGTTAGGGAAGACGTCTTGGAGCGGGGGTGGGGGGAGAAGCGGGGGGGCGAAGGGTGGCCGCAGAGGGAGGGTGGCGATGGGCTCCGAGGCAGGTGGCAGTTGCGGGCCACACAGTGGCTTCGTTTAGGGTGTGAAGTCCTCTGACCACAACAGCCACACCGATGTCCCCGGAGGGGTCCGGGGGCCGGACCCTGGACAGAGGATGTGAGCCCCCCTAGTTCTCAGGAAGTAGAAAAGCTGTTATTTACAAAGAACATATTAAACATCCACTGGAGAACTGAGCCCCCACCCCCACGGCAGAGAGGCGCTTCCTTGTTTGTCCTCACTGGGGGCAGAGTCTGAGGACAGAACTGATTCCTCTCGGCGCTGCTCCCCGCGTGTCTGTCTCTGGGCTCTGCCTTTCACGGCCCCCGCACTCAGAGGTGCAGCCGAGCTGTTTTGGGGGTCCTCACTGGGCCAGGCTCCCGCGGCATTCGGCGGCAGGGACGTGGGACATGTCGGAAGGCACCCTTGCCTCGGTCCATTTCCTGGTTCGGGGGCAGAAATAATTTCCAAGGGGCGAATGCAGAGTGTTCCGGAAAAAGGTCGGGCTCTTGCCGTTCTGTGCCTGGTGCTGGTTCTGTGGGGTGAGAAGGGAAGGAAACCTCACACCCTGGAGATGGTTCAGGGAGGTGGGGGGACGGGCCCCAAGCCCCCGATCTGATGGCAGGGACAGAGGGGTGTAGGTCCATCAGGAAGTTCACAGGGGCTCCTTTGGGTGGCCTTCTCAGATGGACTTTAGGAGGAGGTGTTAAGGTCAACGATCCTTCTTCCATAATTGCCAAATCAGCGCCCATCCCCTAAATTGTTAACGTTATCCTCTCTCTCCACAGGAGTCAAGATGTGCCGAATCCCCCGCTCTGGACGGGCAGGGTGGGCAGGAAGGGAGGGACGGAGGGCCGGGGAGCCGGGCTCACCTTTCACAGCCTCTGAGCCCCGTGCAAATCGTAGTCACTGTCGGAGGAGTTATCGGGCTGGGTGGAAACACGATGCAAGGCCCCTTCCAGAGCTGCAGAAAGAACAGAGGCCATTTGCAGCAGGCTCTATCCCCCCAGGCCACAGAGAGAAAGAGAGAGAGCCCAGAAGCCCGTGGGGGTTTGAAGATCACAGGGGCTTTATGAGCTGGTGGCTGGACAGTCCCGGATCTGTTTTGATCAAATCAGCCAGCATTCACTAATGATACTGAACTCCAGGCTCCCTGGGGCTTAATTGTTAGTGCCAGTCAGGGAGCATTCGATACAGGGCTCCTGCAGGCCGCAGATAGCTCTGTTCTGCCTCGAAAGAATCCGAGGGGCCTCGTTTACCATCCGGCCCTCAAGGCCCCGCAGAGAAACAGGCCTGTTAGGTCACAGCAGTGCCGCGGTTAATGGCATCCCCAGCTTCTTCTTCTCTCTAGTTGAGTGGCTCATGGTCTCCGGGGGGACAGCTCAGGCCTGTTAAGGCCGTATCCCTTCCGTACCCTGCTGTGACCACTGTCAAAGGTTCAATCGGAGCGCCCCCCACCTCCCGTCCCCGGGGAGGGGACGCTTCTCTGGGCCTTCGCATGACCTGTGCTCCCACCTGCCTTCATCCCCGGAAGCATCGGCCGCTGCTCACCTGGGCAAGCAGAGATGTGAGAGTTCCTAGGAGGGTGACTGTATTCATTCTCCACGTGTGACACTGCGGGGTTCTCAACCTGGGACCGGACGGTGGCCGTGTGGTTGCGATGGAAAGACACTGAACAGGTGCAGGAGATGGTGTCATTAACCTGGCTGCTCTGTCCTCTTCCTCCTTCCCCACAGGGTCCCAGAATTTCTATGGCACCCACAGCTCCTGGGATGCATCCCTCCACTCCTTTATTCCAGGGCGGGCTCACGCTTGCAGGGGTCAGACTTTTAGAGCAGCTGGGGGTTGACCAGCAATCTGATTGGCGGGAAGGGCCTTCAGCTGGTCAGTTAGTCTTTCATCAAACATGTATTAAACAGGGAACTGGAACACAAGTGATAGGGGCAGATGCAGTCCCTCCTCTCCTGGAACTGAGGGCTTTGTCTTGTAAAACAAAACAGAACAGAACAAAAACCCTCCACAACACAGAGCCTTCTTGAAGGATCTGACCCTCGGCTTGCAAAAGGGAAGGAAGAACATGGAGTGGAAAATGGGAGGGGGGCCATAATTCCATCCGTTAGGGCGGTCTAGGAGAGAGGATGAAGAACGAGGGTAGAGGATGGGCTAGCTGCTTCAAAATGTTTTAACACTGGCCTTTTAAAGTTGTTCCGTGATAAAGCTAGCTTGGCCAACCTTTCTTGCAGAAATGCCCGTTAAGGTTCTGATAAGTCCTGAAATAAAGAACCAACTCTAATTTTGCTTAACTCCTCCACTTCTAAACCTATGTGATCGTGGAGTCCTCCTTTCGGAGCACCACCTGTTCACACCTGGTGACCACAGCCCCACCTTAGGTGAGCACGGTGGAGGTCAGAGGCCTCAAGTAGCTGCTGGCTCCTCCCTCTGTGGTCAGCAGTGAGCTGTGACCCCTGTGGACACTGGCTGGGGCTGAGGGAGGACCTTGCCTCTGGGGACACTTACTGTTCTGGTTCATTCCTGTCGGGCCAATCCACTGGCGCTGCTTCTTCTGGCGGACTGGGCGACAGACAGGAAAGGCACGTGAGGACAAGGGCTGGGCAGGGATCGTGGGAGGGAAGGATGGGGGGAGGGAGTGGAGAAGGGAGGCAGGTGCAGCTGAAGGCAGGACTGCTGAACTTTGCCCCCTGTGAAGTCTTTCAGGGTCTCAGTTTTCTGACTTGCTCAGGAGGGTACCTGGACCAATCTCATGCTGAAGGAGCTTGTCTAGGGGCTGCTTCTCCAAGAGAAACAACCACAGGGCTTTAGAACCAGAACCTAGGAGGGCGCTGGGGACCTGGCCAACACTGTACCCCTCCAGGCCTTCTCTTTTCAGCCTCTCTAATCTCGCTTCCTGTCCCTGAAGAATTTTCTCCAGAGTTCTGCAAGGCTAGGATAACAGCCCCCTAGATTCACGACAATCGCCCATTAGATGGATGAACAAACTGAGGCTCAGAGAGGAAGCCGCACACTCAGCATCCTGTGGCCGCCAGGGGGTGGAGCCAGGCCTGGGACCGGAGGCTGGGGGCGTGCCTCAGTCTGAAGAATGGCCACGCCCTCCCCCAGCGTGCGCCGATCAGCACTTCTTACCATGTTCCTGACTTTCTCTTTCTGTTCCTATGGGCAGGAGAGCGGTGGGGCTGGGCGGGGCTGGGTGGCTAAGCAGAGGTGCCCTCCCGCCCACCCGGCTCCTCTTAAAGGGGCTTGAAAGGGAGGGCGTTTGGGGCGCCCGCACCTACATTTCTTCACCAGTTTTCGGTAGGCATGAGGGCCGCACACGACCAGCAGCACGGCCAGGAGCACAAGGCCCAGGATGATGCTCATCACGGTGCCTGCGCCCGGGCCTGCTGGGTTTGGGTCATGGCCTGGGGGAGACAGAGACGTCAGGGCGGTCCTGCCCGGGGTATCGGAACTGTAGGCTCAGAGAGAAGCCACTGGCCACTTGGCTCCCCCGCCCCTTCTGTACCCCTGCCCTTCCCACTTGCTGCTTGCAGTAATTCACCAGCTTGTCCGGAAGGCAGTTATCTACTCCTCCTCCTCTCCCCCCTTTCTCGAATTCTCTGTTACCCATTCATCTGTCCCCCATCTGCCATCCAGCAATTCATCATCCAGCTATCATCTGCCACTCTTGTTATCAACTATTCAACTTCCTACCCTTGCCCATTGCTTATAAGGGATCACCTTGCCATCATATTCTAATTGCCATCCATCCCTCCCTCCCTCCCTCTCTTTCACGCGTTATTCTATTACCATTTCTCTCTTGCTTTTCTATCTTCCATCCCGGAAGAGTAGGAAGATAGGATGAAAATTCCCTAGTTCATTGTGGTCAGTCTCCTATGTGCCGTTCACGTTCACTGCTGTCTGAGCACAGTCACCCCTTCTCCCCCATTTGCCACCTCTCCATCCTTTTCTAGGGCTCCGGGGCTCCTGGATCCTGTCCTTCAGAAACATGCTCACTGACTAGGTTCTAGAGAGAAAACCCACCGTGGGCCGTGGCCAACTCACATGTGACAAACACCCTCCTACAGTAGGCTTTTTTCTCTTGAAGCTGATAGCACTGGGACAGCTTCTCCTGGGGACAGAAGAGCCCATGGGAGGTCTCGATGGCGTCCAGCACCCGGTAGGAGTCGACGCTGCCGCACTGCAGCTCCTGGCACACCTCCTCCCACCGCGCCGTGCCCTTGGGCCGGGGGCCGTCGCACAGGACTTCCCACTGCTTGCCCTGGCGCACCTCCACGGACCCCTCACACAGGCTGCGGCGTCCCACCAGGCGGCTCTGCACCTTGGGCTGGAAATCTGGAGAGGGGACGCAATGGAGGTCAGGTGGGAGGTTTGGAGGGAGCTCCCTCGGCCCCTGGCCTACACGCCCGGCCACAGGGGCCCCCAGGTCGCTGGCCAAGAGGGGGCCCCGGCAGAGCCCAGCTCATGGGCGGCTGGGAGCACCTTTCTTCCTGTCCTTCCCCCCTTCTTGCATCTTCTGGCATTTCCCCCATCAAGCTCTTTCCCTGGCACCTCTGGGCAGCGGCCGGTAGCTATCTGGAGGCGTGCGGGCGTGCAGCGCTTTCAGGGGAGAATCTGGCGGAGGGGAGACGCCCGTGGCAAATGCGGGAGGGAGTCGGCGCCCGAGCTGATGGAGGTAAGAGAGGAGCAGCGAGAAACAGGCTCCTCCTGGGTCCACTTCCCTCTGGGAACCATTCTCATTTTCCTGCTGCTCCTTGGGGGAGGGGGCCAGGTGGGAGTGCTTTTCCCGAAAGGAGAAACTGAGGCCCGGGATGGGACAGAACCCAGGAATCCTCTGCCCAGCCTCGAGGGGTGGGCTTTCATGAAAGGGCCTGGTCCTTTCAGAGAGAGACACCGAATCCATTTCTGCTTGTCAGGGGGGGTGCCTGGGGTCCACTGCCGGGGTCCTCAGCCGAGGCCCCCCTGAGCCGAGGCTCAGGGTAGAGTGACTTGTGATCTCACCGGCTTGGCCAGTTTCCATAGCAACATCTGTCTTCAAGGCCCCAGCAAGTGTTCTATTTAGAAAAGCCATTCAAAGGCAAGGCCTCTGGGTCTGTTTTGCAGGCTGTAGCCTGCTGGAGGGCAGGGGTGGGTGGGGCTGAGAGCCAGACCGGTTTTTTTTCCCTCATCAGGCCAGGAAACCCTGGGCCTGGGGTGGGGGTGGGGGGCGTGGAGGGGGCAGCTTCTACCTGGAGGGGCAGTGTTTTCACTCTTTCACCATAAGTATCCACCTGGGCTGGGGGTGGGGAGGTTGGCGGATGGGGAGGGGAGGGGTGGGGGTGGGAGCAGGTCTGCTAATGGGATAGCCCAGTGGTCCAGGGCAAAGCTTCCTAGATTCATGCATGCACCTCCCGCCCCGCCCAAGGACCCTGCTGAAATGCAGATCCGGGTCAGTCCAGGACCGCACTTTAGGCAGCCAAGGCTGAGACAGGTGGGGGCCTGGAGTGACACCGCTGGAGTAGAAATCCCAGCTGGTGCTCTGGGATGCTGGGCAAGACATTTAACGTCTCTGAGCCTCAGCTTCCTCATCTGTAACGTGGGCACAATAGCAGCCACTTCCTTGGGTTGTTGTGAAAATGAACGAATGTCCTGGGAGCGTCCCTGGCCCCATGTGAGTGCCGGGGAGGTATGACTTCTTACAGTCTGGACTCCACTAGAACCCTCCGGGGATGGGAACCCACCGCCTCCCAAGGCGTGCCAGGATTATTCTCAATCTGACCTGCGGTCCTGGTTTTGGGGTCCCCTAGGCCTCCCTCTTTGGTCTCCTCCCTTCAGCCACGTCGGATACCCAGGCTTCTGGTTGCCCTCCGTGCAGGAGCCTCCGCAGGAAGCTGTCGGAGGACCTGCTCTGGTCTCTCTCTGCCTGCTGTGCCTCGGGGACCTCCCACTTGTCACCACCACTCCACCCTCTTCGGTCTCTGGGATTTACAAACTCCCCTCCGGCAAGGCTGCTTACCCTCCAAGCGCCCCGTCTGCTCTGGTCCTTGGCACAAGTCACAGCTCCCACCTAAAACGCCCTCTGTGCTCTGCTCCCCCCAAACCCATGCTCCTCTCCTCCTTCCAAACCTAAGGGAGACCTGGCTTCGTCCTGGAAGTCCTGCTGACCCCACCTTCCTGAGCGGCCGCCATGCCAGCAATGCATTGGGCTTGTTCGGTGTCACTTTGCAGGGACTCCCCAGGCGCTGGGTGTTGAGTTGCAGCCTCCCCACCCGGGCCTCTGTTTCCCTCCCGTTCATAGTGCCCAGTGCCCTGTGCTACATGCAGGGGTTTCCAGACACAGGCGTTGACTGACCGTCTGGGGGCGCCCCGTCCGGTCCTCACCGGGACTCACTCACCAGAACAGACGATGGCCAGAGCTTGGCCGCCCTCACGGGGCTGGACTTTACTGAAGCACTGCTCCAGGGAGGTACAGCTCGTGTTCTGGATCTTCCATCGAATTGGCAAGGGCCTGCTCTCCTCTGGGTCTTGGGCCCTGGAGGTGTCCTCCTCTGGCAGATGCTTCAGGAAGGAGCCACACTGGAGGGCCTCACAGATACGGTTCTCCAGGTCCTGGGTCTTGTCCTGCGCCTCGTAGCTGATGGCACCACCCCGGCTGCCCCAGTAGAACTCCACGACGCCGGCACACCGCAGGCCCCCGGGCCCTGCCACCAGCTGCAGCCTGGGAGGGGCTGCGGGGGGAGACAGAGGGCAGCAGGCCTGAGCTCGGCGGGGCTGGCAGTGGGGGCTTCCTTGCTCCCGGCCCTTTGGCTCTAACACAGGGACAAATGGAAGACTGGCCGACAGCCGTGGGAGGTGGTGAGGCCGCATATTGCACGGGACAAACACGAAGCCTTTCCACGTTTGTCTGAAACTCAAAGGCAACTGGGCATCCTGTGTTTTCATTGGCTAAATACAGCACCCTGCCCCCAGGGACCTCAGAATCCTCTTACCTGTGGGCTGCGGAGTGGTTGTGGGTGGGGGGGTCGTGGGAGGAGGTGCTGTCCTGGGCGGCTCTGCAATAAAACACACTCTGGTGAAGGAGGGACAAGAGCCCTGGGGAGGGAGGACTGGAGGTTTCAGGGAGAGAATGTGGGATCG